TATGCATTTTGGTCACTTTGCCCCATACCCTGAGACAAAGCGACCACCGGCGACTGGTGAAGCCCCGATATGAGAAACAGAATAGTTGCCTCATGTACGACTTAAACATTTAATGGTGACAAGGTTTAAACAAGGATGGATGTTACGTTTGTCATCCTCCCACGTGTAGGAAAAAAGAAAGGGCATTCATAGAAAAACATTTAATTGCGTTTCTTGGTTAATCCTGTGACCGAAAAGTGGCCGAGATTAACGCATGACGATGCATCTTGATCTCAACATCAATAACGTTTCTTGCCCAGCCTGAAGCAACTTATGAAATTAGGAGCTGTCCACTCTGCCCAGCCCGCTTTTCCCCGCTCCCACCTTCCGAAAGAAAAGCATCTTCCAGCTCTGTTATGAGTGGAGTGAAACGCATCAAAATTGATAGAGGACAGGTACGATAAGTGATAACCGCTTAATTCAGGAATGAGCACAATTAAATCAACTTCTCAACGGTTGTGTTATAAAAAGCATTAAAAATGCCTAAGAATATTGGGATAATAAGAAAAACCTGGGAAAATATCCCTTTCCGTCTGTCACGGAAAAATGGCGACGGGCCGGAAACCCCGGTCTGGCTGATTCAAACGGTGGAGAAGAGAAGTATAATTGGCAACCAGTAATTGGAGCCATAGGCGGCGGAACGGGGAGGGCACCGGGGCACCGTGCCCGCTTTGATTTTGACATCTTAACATTAGCCCTATGGGCGTTGCATGGAAAGAATGGGACCACAAGTCGGCACCTTAATTGAAGGTGTTCCGCCGCTACTGATTGGAGCTGACTCAAGTTGTGGACTGTGGAGGGCTAGAATCGAGGGTGGCCGCTTTGCCCCGGATGGTCGCCTTGCTCCACTCTACCCCATATATGCCGGAATACAGACGCCAGAATGTAGACTGTGCCGCAATACATACGCCTGAATGTAGACTGTCCCGAAATATATACGCCTGAATGTAGACTGTACCAGAATACAGACATTTGGAAATAGAGTATACCGGGATACAGACGCCTGAATGTAGACTGCCGCAATACATACGCCTGAATGTAGACTGTACCGGAATACAGACACCTGGAAATATAGTGTAGGTACCGGAATACAGGCGCCTGAAGGTAGGCTGTTCCGCAATAGGTACAGACGCGCAAAGGTAGGCTGTACCGTAACACAGACACCTGGAAATATAGTGTAGGTACCTACCGGAATACAGACGCCTGAAGGTATACTGTACCGGCATACAGGCGCCTGAAGGTAGGCTGTACCGGAATACGTACAGACGCCTTGTAGACTCAACTGTGCCGGAATACAGACACCTAAAACTAGACTTGACCGGGATACGCCGACCCAGGAGGGTCGTTACGAACCGTGTCCCGCATACAGGTCCACCGGCCCACCGCCCGACTAAATGGCTCGTCACGCGGCGAAACGGGCGTCCGACATTCTCCGTCAGACGCCTGACACCTGACTCCAGTGACAATCTTGGCCTCAACAACCTCCGAAGACAACTCTCTCGATGCTCGGCCACTCGTACGTTTGATGTTCTAGCCGTTTGTTTGACTTTTTGAGACCTTTTGCTCGTTTTAATCACCATTTTGGTAGCAACTTTGTGTGCCGCTTAAATACCTACGAACTAGGTACACATGCAAGTAAAATTCCTTCGCTTGTTTCTTGCGATAATAGCATGGCGCCTCCACCAGCTGTGCATGTCTCTTATGTACCGTGTTCGGGACATTAGCAACGTTACACTCTCCGTTAGCACCCGAGCACCAGTGACGGTACGCCATCAGTGGCGGCGGCACCCGTCGCGTTCCGGGCGTGCCACGGCTCGACTGCCGGCGGTGCGCCGCCACTGACGGTGTAATGACCCGGGCCGCGATTAGCGTCATGAGCCAGCCGCTGATGACGGTCATCTGCCGCTCCAATAACACGCCACTCGCCGTGATTGTCCCGCTCTTCCGTTCGGCCCGTCCAGAGTGCGCCGCCTTCGATTACCGTGATGTGGCCGTGGTGCTCTCGCTGGGAGCTGTGTAGGACGGTGGCGGGAGCGCCCGTTATGAAGAATTTCCTGGTGGGTACAACAGTTTCTCGTTGAACTCCTGGAGGAGGGAGACTCGTATACACGCCGCACCCCAGTGCGAAATATCCGTCTCCATGCCCGCCCGGTCCGGGACGCGTCGCCCAACGACCGATGTGGTGACTATGACAATGATCTCACAGCCGTTTTTGTTTCGTCGGCGCCATCCCGAGACGTTCTGGTCCCGTCTACATCGCGACCTCCCTCCGCGCCGATCAACAAAAAAGCTCATCCCGGCCGCGCCGAGCAAGAAGCGCGCATGACAATCACCTGCGCTGCGAGATCGCCACCGAGCGAGGTGCGCTCGGCGGCCGCGGCCGCTCAGCTCGTGACGACAAAAACGGCAGCTGGGCGCGCCCGACAGCCGCCGGTTGCCGAGTGGCGAATTATGGACGGTGACGGGTCAAAAGAGGCACCGCCGCGCGGCCGCGCCCGGTGGCAAAAACGACGCCGAGCGCGACGCAAAAACGCCGTGATCTTGGAGCGAGTCACGGTGCTCTTTTGCCGAACGTCTGCCACCGCGCAGCGTCATTAGAGTGATGCGTCGGCCTCTCGGAGGTCTGCGGATACGCGCAGAGTGGCAAGGCGGCTCGAAGGACGCCAGTCGTTGGTTTTATAGCCTTGTCCGCTGCTGGTATATCCGTTCTGGTAGCTTGTGGCTTAGGTACCAGTTTTCTGTCTGGGCCACTCGCAAGCCTTGTCTCGGCCTCTATCGATGTATAACTTTGTAAATGACACCTGCTTGTCGGTAGTTAAGTAGCCGCAGGGCGTAAAATCGAATGGAGCCAGAATGCTTGCCGTGCCGCAGCCAGTGCGAGCGACCCACGACCCTTGGGCCACGAGCCTCTGCCTCTGCGCTCCCCCAGCCGCCCTGCACGTGGTGGCACACAGGGTGCCTGTCCGGCCTCTCACACGGTCCGCGCTGCCGTGAGGGCCGGCTGGTCTGTCGGCGGCACCAGCGTAATGGGGCCACCACCCGACAGTAAACGGTTTATTGGAGAGCCTGAATCAGCCCGCGGCCACGCCGCCTTTTACTTATCAAAGGCAGTTTTATTTTGATTAGTGGTGGTACGGGGCGCATTCTGAGGGTCCAGGGCAGCCTCCTGACACGGCGGAGGTATGGTGAGGCCCGGCCCCGGGCGGCGGCTGACGGCGCCTGCCCGTGCCCACATTGACGTCAAACAGAGCAGAAGAAGGAGAGAGAGAGAGAGAGAGAGAGAGAGAGAGAGAGAGAGAGAGAGAGAGAGAGAGAGAGAGAGAGAGAGAGAGAGAGAGAGAAAGAGAGAAAGAGAGAGAGAGAGTGAGAGAGAGAGAGTGAGAGAGAAAGAGAGAGAGAGAGAGAGAGAGAGCAATAAAACAATAAAATAAAACAATACATGAATAAAACAAACCAGAGAGAGGCGTGGGAGAAGCAACAGAACAATATTAGTTCCGTTGAAAGTCGAGCGACAGGTAGCTATCCACAGGCTACGAATTTCTTCGTTCTGTTATAAAAGATGCATTTATTGTGATTTAGACCGGCATCGGCAGCCAAGGCAGTGCCGATGACTCAGATATATACGGCTCCAGGAATTACAACACCCGTACGGCGAGAGGCCGTTTGACAAGCGGATACGGCCGTTGCGAAACGTACTAGCATTCCGACGTGAGCGTCCAGTGAGCTGAAGCGACGCAACACGTTACGAAACTCCACCTCGCCTGCCTACCAAGTGGCATGATATAAAAGAAGCTTACCGTTGTGGGTACTGTTTAATGAGTGACAATTGTCGTTGCTCGTTTCTTTTTCATTCATTCCTTGTTTCATCGGCGTCGAAGCGGAAGTCGGAAACAGCTGGTGTTACATTTGTTCCCGATCTCGATTGGGCTTGCAAAGAAATGCCTGCTTAAGTCATGCGCCGGGGTTTCGACGAGGCCTCGGCGGCTGGCTGGCCGACGGGTGGCGCTGGTAAGCGGATCATCTGCGCTCCTCCCTCCCAGGGTCAGGTAATGCCGGCCGGTAAAGCCGTGACCGCCGGCCGGCCACAGACGCGTAGTCACGGGGAGAAAAAGGCGCTCGTCACGGCACTCACTCCCCATGGCCGCACAGCTCACTGGATACATGTACAGGCGTCTGAGAGGCACTGAGATGCCAGCGTATTGACGGACGGTATTGGTGCGCTTTATTTCGAGTGGATACCAAACAAGTTGCATGTATTTGTTTATTTCACTCTTATTATCATAGACATCAGGTCGGCTAGGATGATTGATAAGGCTGTATCGTATGCCTTCAGCTGAAGTGCTTCAACATCGTTGTCCTCTATTGGTTGGAAAAATTACAGAAGAGTATCAACCGATTTCGATGGCAGTGTCACAGTTTCCAAAGCTGCCAGGGTCCTTCAGTGACAGTCGAAAGTACCTGTCAGTCTAGATAATGAGCAGTACGGCCTCGGAGCAGTCAGCCGACTGATCTTTTCAGAGACGTTTTGTTTGTCGACTATCGCTCCGATAACACAAACTAGGGCGGTGTGGCCCTGCGCCACGTGTTTTGACCCTCACAATTCGCTGTTTGCGTAACTATACTGCTGGTGTCAGCAATCACCTGGGTCCTCCGCCAGCCAGGCCCGTCCGTATCTAGCCACCGCGATACCGCCCGGCCGGACGCCGCGCCAGCACAAATTGCGTTGCGTGCATCGGGCGATTTTTATGCCAAACCGGCCGCTGTGGCGCTCCGTTACCGCTCGCCCGGTAAAATACTATCCGTGTATCGTTCTGCCGCTCAGCGAATCGTAGCACTATGGCACGGTAGAGCTCTGTGTAGGCCCACACGATAGCCGCATCTGGACATGAAACGGCGTCTCTAAGACGGAGGGAGCCAGCGTGTCATCACCGAAGTTCAAAACAGCTCGTCAACACACATCAGAAATAGCAAAATCGCGTTATATTCTTTCAATGACCACAGCAAATGACAATGGCACGCGTGTCGTGGAAAGCCCAGCACTTCGATTTGTCGTCCCCAGTCACTACGATATGGTCCACCGTGGTTGGTTGAGCGAATCCGATCCAGAGATCCCCAGAACGAAGTCCGCGATCATAAGGCACGAGTCGTTTAGAATAAAGGCGTGTAGACTGTGTGGACATGCACGAACGCACGAAGTGTTCACATCGCAGGAACAGCTGCAACGCTACGGTTGCTATGATAACATAAGGAGACGGACTTGTTCAGCGAAAGAAGCTGAAAGGAGAGTTGAATTGAGCTGGCTTTACAAGGCGCCAACGGCCGAGTTTTGCCGTGGTGTGAATTAGCTCGGGAGAAGGCACACTGGATTTACGGCTGGTCCCTCTGAGGCTCGGTAACTCGTCAATTCAGACACCGGCAGCGCCTCTGACCAGTACACAGCGATATACTGATACCCGGGGGTGGCCTGACCCGTACCCTCCGGTCCCGCTCCGCCACCCAAACTGGGTCCCGGTCCAACAGTGACAGAACGGCTCCAAGGCACAGTCACTGACGAACAGGCGGTTCCGGTCAAAGAACAGCGGCGCTCCCACACATACCAGCCCGGACGGACGGATCACGAGCGAGGCTTTGTGCGTCGTAGCACAAAGCGCGAACTCAGGCGCCCTAGGTTTGTTGACGAGGCTACAAAAGCCGTACAGCCTCGTCACCATTCACTTAATGTAACGATATGTGACATCGTTGACACTAAATAGCAGTCGCAAGTCGTCAATAAGCTCAAAATTCGCCACATGATAAAACTACGAACATCAAAGATCACAAGAGAACAATCGATATAAAACTGATTTGTGAAGAAAATACGATTTCGCTTTAGCTACAGCGTAGCTCTCGTAGCTATAACAAGACGATTGCATTGGCGCATCACAAAAGCTGACATTTACACACCCCTTGGCACACTGTTGAAAACTTGAATCGAACACATATGACTCTCACGCTGTGCCATCATACCATCACAGACGAGTCCCAGGTAACAAAAAGCTGGTTCGCCGGTGGTTTGACCACCCCTGCAGATGACCCAGTGACTGAAGCAAAGCTCTTTGACCGCGCACCGGCATGTGCTTCTCACATCTCACACAGCCGGGCACAGTTAAATCGACAGACGCGAGTGTCGCGTACCCACCGGGGCACACCGGAGCACACCCGTGGCGCTCACTAATGCCCGGCGCGCGGCGACTCCACGCCCGCAGTCCCCCCACGGCAGTGTTCCGTTCGACCGAGCCCCAGGTCAGAGGCGGGAGCTGTCCCCCCGTCTGCCGGCCACGGGGAGCGGCGGCCGCCCGTTGGCGGCGCGCGGGCGGGCGCCGCGCGGGCCGCTGGCGCCCTCTGAGAACACGTCGTCCTGGTCCGAGCCGCCGCCGCCATGCCCAGAGGGTGCTGAGGTGCCGCGGCGCAGGAGCGTGACGTCGTCCATCTCTGCCAGCTGGAGGGACAGGCATGGACGTCAGCCGGGGCATCAACCGGGGACACCACGACGGTGCATCTACAACTTCTACAGGAATCGCATTAATAGTGGAGCATAGATTTCTGTATACAGAGGTCTAGGGGTGGGGTCTTGAGGAAATCATTTTCTTCTCCGTATTTCGGTAGGACGAAGGGGAAATAAAACACGCGACCAAGGGTTGTATTTAGCACTGCACAGAGCACACGCCCCACTGAAGCTTCCAGCGCCGTACCTGCTGCGACCTCAGCTGGAGCTCAGCGTTGATTTCATCCAGCAGACTGGAGCCGGCCATCACCGAGAAGTCGGCAAGGGGGTCGTCCTCCGCCGAAGGCTCGGTCCACAGAGAGGCTCTGTTCGGCCTGGGAAGACTGCCGGCACAAGAGTCGGCATCCCAATTACACATGTTAGGGCCAAATAAAGCTGCATATACCACGACACGGTGTATTGTGCTTCCAGCGACCGACGACCAAGCACGGACAAGGCGACCCGCCGACTGACCCAGTCTGGTCACGGTCGCGCCCTTATATAACCACGGCACAGAGCGCATGCGCGGTGACCGCGCGGCGGTCAGGCGGCTCGTCGGCCGGACGGCCGGGCCGCCGACCCATCCTGTTCCACGGCCCCACACGGCCGGTCCGCGGTCACAATATCCCAACACACAGACTTGTGAACAAAATCAGTCATCTGGCCAAAGACAGGGGTGACAAGGGTAGGCATTCTGGTCGCAAATACAGGCTACGCTCATGATGCACGATCTGGTCAGAAATGTGATATGGAGCGGACAGAAGAGTTTGTCAATCGGAGCCGCTGACTCCGGCGACTGTGTGGCGGTGGTGGGTCTCACCTGCCCCCGCTGCCAGCAGTGGTGGTCCGGCGCTGCAGATCGCCCGGCAGCAGGCACGGTGACGACACGCCGGTGGGCCGCAGCCGCTGGGTGACCGGTGACGCCGGCGCCGAGGAAGTGCCGGCCGCACCGGCCGCGCCGGCCGGCACCTGCGGGCGCCGCTGGCTCGACTCGGAGGCTGTGCGCCCGCTGCCGCTCAGCCGGCGCCGCCACATCATCTTGGCGATCCAGGGCCGGCGCGACTGCGACTCGGGCGGCGGAATGTAGGCCGGCTCACGCAGCAGAGAGTCGCCCGACGACTCGGGACGCGCCAGTCGCTCCTGGATAAACTGGTCGACCGTTGGGTCCGCGTCAGATAGAACTGTCATAAAAATTCATTCGATATGTAGCAGCGATACGTTTTCGAAAACAAGGGAAAGACAAAGCAGCCCGCAGTTCCATGGACACTATTCGGACGATCAAGCCAATGCTAAATAGACTAAGTTGGGTACAGAGATTGCTAATATCTCCAGTGTTTCCTCACCCACCTGCTCGAACATCTGCGTGCCCGCCAGGGTTTGCAGGAACGGCCGTCGGCTGGACGGCTGGCTCTCTAAGAACGCCGTTCGGTCAAAGAGCGGAGCACCGGTGGCGTCCCGTCTGTCGAAGTGTAAGGAACAACAGTGAGACAGACGCGGGCGAGCAGAGTTTGGTTGAGCTCACCAGCGAATCCTCACAGGACTCAGCTCTATGGTAACGCCCCTGTGGTGGTAGAGCGAGCCGGGCCACACACTGACTGATCCCCAGTCCGTGTGTACCCGAACACATGTGGGCGGCCTCACCTGAAGCCGTGTCGGTACCCGTCGACCAGTCGAAGCACGGCCGTCTGGAAGGCTCGCGCCAAACTGTCGCCGTCGCCATCAATGGAGCCGACCTTGTTCAGCTGGCGGCGAAGCGAGGCGACCTGACGGGTCGGACGGGGGCAGACGGGGTCAGAGAGGGTCACACAGGTCACTGGGGGTCAGATAGGTCACCAGGGCTAGATGGCGCCGTTCGAGAATCGACTATCCGGCCACTGTGAGCGTTCAGCGCTGCTCTCAAACAAAAAGGCCTGTGTCAATTCATGTTCCACTCGATTGCACTTAGTTTCTTCTATCTGAACACATCGAGGAATGCGGGTGTTTAAAGGGACCCTCCCACCTTCAAAAAAGTTAATGAATTGGCATGAAAGTGATGTCCCTTGGTTCAGAAAGAGCGAAAACGAATGTCTACCACATTTCACCGAAAAATATTCATTGGTTTTCAAGATATTAGGCTTTTACTTTTGTTTACTTTTTGGGATCTCCCCTGTTACTAGCGACTTTATTTGGAAGCAATAATTTGGCAGCCTTAAAGTGCGGCAGACGTTGCGCGCAAAGCAGCGTATACCACCACGTGTTAACGATGGTTTTAGTCTAAGATTTAAAAATCGTTAGATCTCCGATGACGTCACAAATTCTAAGGGGGCATTCCAATGCATTAGCCCCTTAGAATCCGAAAACTGCAAGTTTGAAATTCCATATCTTCGAATTAAAGCATTTTTCGATGTTGTGAGTGCCCAAACCGGTATTTGCAGGCCATGGCCACCAATTTGGCTATCTCAACTCAAAACTAATGTTAAGGTGGGAGTGTCCCTTTAAACAGCTGAGCCTGCCGCTGGGCGGTCGGCCCTAGCGTTCCGCTCACCCATCCGCACCTTTCCCGTCATCCTGCTCACTCACCCCTCGCTTCCACCCTGCCGTCGCCGCCGGCTCACCAGGTCTGCTGGCAGCCGCTGCAGGTCCCCGTGCGGCGTGCGCAGACGGCTGCAGTCCGCGTCCAGCTCCACGTACTCCTCGGGCAGCTCGTCCCTGGAGAGTTGCGCGCGCACCACCGCCGGACAGCCGGCCAGGAAGGCCACCGGCGAGGCGAGCAGGCCCCGGTGCGCGGCCGGCACCACCGGAAAGAACAGACGCTGCCATTGCAGAGGGTACAGCAGCTCCTGCGCCGCCTGCCGAGAACACAGGGCACGCCGACCGTCACAGGCGAACCGCTAGGAGGCAGCTCACTGGGAAAATGGTGGGCATAATGTGATTTGATTGACCGTTGCGTTAGTAAGGAATAAGGATCGCCAAGCGGGTAATAATAACAGAATGTATATGTATATCAAACAACAATCAGCACAGACATTGAACACATTTCTTTGACCGAAATATCTCTGTGATTGGAGATTGTTTGAGCTTAGCGACGATTCAGTTGCCGGAAACAAGTCTGTACCTAAGCAGAAATGAGCAAACTTCATACCATTGACAACACATCAATATATTCTTGCGTGAGCAAACTCCCGACCCATCCTATCGCGGGCTGCGCCACGCTCCTCATTTCCTGACTCTTCCAACAGCTCCTCTGCGCCGGCACTCTCTGCGTCCGGCATGTCGCTGTCGGCCCGCCCGACCGGCCGTCAGCCACCGGTGACGGCTCACAGCCCGCCCGCACGTCAATACACAAACACGCCGCACCTCTCACAGCGGTCCAGCGGCAGGGTCCGGCCGACCGACAGCCCGACGGCGGCGCGACGCACACAGGCAGCCGGGTAAGTGCACTCAGCTAAGTAAGTGTATGTTTTAGGGCCTTGAGTGCACTCAGCCGTGGGTGTACCGCGTCCGGTAAACAGCGCGCCGAGTGGCGGCAGGGTCGGCGGCCCGGTCAGCACCGGCCTCTACCGGCCCAGAAGGCACCGGCCTCTACTGGCCCAGAAGGCACCGGTACTAGCCTCTATACCTGCCCAGACATCAGTCTCTGCACTGGCCTATACGGCACCAGTCTCTGTGCCGGCCTACACGGCACCAGTTTGTGTAGCCGCCAACACGGCACCAGTCTGTGTAGCCGCCAACACGGCACCAGTCTGTGTAGCCAAGGCTGCGGAGTCGGAGTCGGAGTCGGAGTCGGAGTCGGTCGGAGTCGACAGTTGTGACCGGAGTCGGAGTCGGAGTCGGAGTCGATTTTAGAAACCCGAGCCGGAGTCGGAATCGGAGTCACCGAAAATCTGTCGACTCCGCAGTCCTGCTAGGTCTGCGGAGTTGGAGTCGGTCGGAGTCGACAATTCTGCCCGGAGTCGGAGTCGGAGTCGGAGCTGGTTTTTGAAAGCCGGAGTCGGAGTCGGAGTCGCTGAAAATCCATCGACTCCGCAGCCCTGTGTGTAGCCGCCCAGACGGCACCAGTCTGTGTAGCCGCCCAGACCGCACCAGTCTGTGTCTGAGTCCGTCATGATCCAGGGATGCAGCACGGGTGCTCCAATTAAAGACACCAGCTACCAGTAATCTGGTCGGTCGTGGTTAACAGTAAACAAGATGGCAATATGGTCGGTGACATCAAACACAGTCGTCAAAAGTCATCCTAGGTCTCCTGAGATGGTACACGTTGTACCGGCCTAAACGTGAACGGTTTTCGTCCGACATAGTCAAGGCACTTGGGGTCGACCGACACACATAAGGAAATCTGCACGGGAAGGAATACGAAGGGCAGAGCGAGGGAAAGGAACATTCGTGCCGATAACAGGAAATGTGTCGGCTCCCATTGCAATTAAATCACACGTAGTAATCTAATTATGCCCACATGCATTGCTGCAGCGCCGGTGGATGGAGCTGTGACGAGCAAAGTTGCATTTCCAAGCTAGCATTAGTCGAAGTAATTGCACAGCGAGTGCCTACATAACAGTACTATTTAAAGCTAGCCACATCAGCAGTATGACGTGCAGTAGCGCGTTCCTGGGCGATTTTTCACCGGAGACGCTTGATAAAGCTGTCTCTAAAGTGAATATCCTGTACCGTGTCCTTGCTCGGCGGGTATGCCCCCTCTATTCGCGGAAATGCCACAATGTGCGGGTACGTGCCGCCGCCTCGGGCGTTCTGACAATAGCCCCCTCCCTCCCTCGTCCCCGCGGCCTCGCACGCTGCACGTGCGGACCGGTAGCGCGCGTCAGTCGGTCCAGCGGCGTGTCCGTCAGTATCAACAGGCCGGCCGCCCGCGGACCCCGCTACCATATCGGGAGCCGACTGCCACCACTGCACGCTGTGAGCCCGTTTAGTGCACGCTCACACACCGATCCGCGGCCGTGGGGCGCCGGTCTGGCCTGTATCTATCACGGTGAATAATCAGCCGTGAGCTCACGGTGCTATCGGCGGCCGACAGACAGGCGGACAGACAGCCGCGGTCCGGCAGCCGACTCCCGCGGCCGCTGTCACTCACATGCACACAGGCGCTGAGGCGGCCCAGTCGGGAGGAGGTGATGAGTACGTGCCGCTCGTGCAGCAGCGCCGCAAACAGCTCCAGCTTGGTGTTGTTGTCCAGCACTGCGTAGTACTCGGTTAGGTTGCGCTGAAAAAATGACCCGCGTCAGAGCTGAGATGGCGGACGGCGGTCCGGCGGCGGCGAGGGGGGGGGGGGGGTAGGACATCGCTGGACCATATCACACCACACAGTGGAGAGTACCGCGGGTACGACGGGCGGAACCCTGCCGTCGGACACAACACCAGCCAGTACCCACAGCGCACGCAGCGCTGTCAAACTCATCACACTGATATCCCTACACCGACATCGTTCTGCGCTGCACTTCATGCACAACATTCTAGCAGCCGCAATTGTACGCGCAAAACCCGCCGGCCGCACCCATAACTATGTAGACCAAAACTGCCTTCGAGCCCTCAATAGTCAATATCCATTGCTACATAACTATTGACTACCCGATCTGTGTACGCTTACAGGCTACAGCCGTCCCATCCACCCGACCTTCGTTCTCCCCCCCCCCCCCGACCTCCCCCAGTCGGTCACTCACGTCCACCAGTAGGGCAGGCCGCCGGCGACGGTCGGGACACTCGACAGCAAAGTCCTGCGACAGACCGTGACCGGGCGGGGTCAGAAGGGGTCACACCGGTCCAGGGTCAAACCAGAGGTCACACAAGGCAGAGGTGGGGGTCTGACATAGTCACGGCTCCTCCCGTTATGGTAGAGGCTACGTAAGAAAGCGAACACAGCGCCGGTTTAAGATCGTTTGGAGATGAAATAAAAGTCAGCGAGCCGTCTGTCTCATATATCCGTTATCGGTAGACGATTCAAGCCAGTGTAAAAGAATTGAAACCCTTATCTAATGCTAGGGGCCCAGAGCGGCCTGTACGACCCGGCACCTCTGTCCGGTATGGTTCGTGGTGGGGATACAGCCCGCGGTCCGGTACGGTCCGCAGTGAGGATACAGTCCGCGGTCCGGTCCGCGGTGGGGATACAGACCGCGGTCCGGTCCGCGGTGAGGATACAGACCGCGGTCCGGTCCGGTCCGCGGTGAGGATACAGACCGCGGTCCGGTCCGGTCCGTGGTGGGGATACAGACCGCGGTCCGGTACGGTCCGTAATAAGGCACACGGGTACCGGTGGAGACTAGGGGGGGGGGGGGGGTGATCGGGCGCCGGTCGTCTGGGCGCGGTACTCCACTCCGGGAGAGCTCAACAACCCTCCGGCGCGGGGTGACGCCATGCGTCCCATCGGCGTCCGAGCGCTGTGCTATGAACAGTGAGCACCCCTCGCCTATCGCGTGAAGCACGTCTGATACGGAGCACAACACTTGACTAGGAGACCCCGGCCCACCCACGCGCGCGAAAAAAAAACACGGGCTGTGGCAATAGTTGGCCTGCTGACTCTCGAGCGTCAAACATTTCAGACATGTTGATCGGCAACTGAGAGGTTATTGCCGCCATTAAAAGGGAGTTCGGTTCGAATAGCCGAGCAGGTGGATGTGGTCTTGGTTATGCGGTGAGCTCAGCGTCTTGCAAAAGGTTCTTTGTGTCGCGAGGCAAACTAATCTAGAGCATGCTGATTTCAAAAGTAATTATACAACTTGACGGTGACACCGTCCAGTTGGCATATATACTCGTATATAAATAAATACAGATACATCATGCTATAGATATGTCCGTATCAACCGCGAGCCCCACCCGGCCGGCGGCCACTGCGGCAGCTCAACCCTATCTGGCACCGTTCGTCTCCCCTGCCTCAGTGACGACAGACGCGTCACACACGCACAGCGGGGGGGGGGGACGGGGACGGGTCTGTCACTCCGATCGTCCGCTCCGGACGGCGGTCGGCCCACCTCCACAGCAGGAAAACGGGCCGCTGCAGCGGACCGGCGTGACTGACGGCCTTCCTGCTCAGGAACTCAGCGGTCCACGGCTACAGTGAGGGCGGCACAGTCAGGGCCACTACCCAGTCACCAATGTGCTGAGTCGGGTGTTTCAGGCAGCTCCAAATGAACGCAGGAATGAACGAATTCAATTCACATTTCGATGGCACAGCCCGCCGCGAGCTCCACGCATTTGCTGCAGCCCGTTGTGTCCGAATTCAGTTACAGTCCATCAGGGTTCCGGTGTGTCCCGAGCGACTCTCTGCCGAGAAGTGGGTCACATCCGGTACCCCAACCGCCCCGTCCGCTGCCGGCCCCGCCAGACTTCCCCGGGCGAGAGGGCGAGATAAGCCGAAACTCCCACAAAGTACATGCCAGTGATGAGCCATGTGATGATCTCAGAGAACGCCCTCATTTTAAACTGGGAGATACAAATCGAGATGTGACTATATGTCCCCAGCCCGTACCCCAGGGACTGACCCGTGTCCGCAGCCCACCCAGTACCCAAGGGACTGACCCGTGTCCCCAGTCCGTACCCCAGTGACTGACCCGAGTCCCCATCCCACCCCGTAGATCCGTCCACTAACCGTGTCCCCAGCCCGTACCCAGGGACTGACCCTTGTCCCCATCCTATCCCGTAGGTCCGTCCCCTAACCGTGTCCCCAGCCCGTACCCCGAGGACTGACCCTTGTCCCCATCCTACCCCGCAGGTCCGTCCGATGTCACTGACCGTGCCGTCGGGCAGCGGGAACCTCAGCGTCTCGCCGCCGGCCGGCACCGGCGTCCTGTAGACGACGTTCAGACAGCGGCGCAGCTGGACCTCCCCGCCGTCGGACAGCACCTCGTGCAGCTTGTCTAGCAGCCTGCCGCGCACCGGTCAGACGGGTGACACCCAGCAGCCAGTCACAGCTCACCGCTCACGGCATCGTCAGCAGTCCCAATGACAGTAACATTGTGACATCGGGAACAGTAGCAGTAACGTAACCAGAACATCGAACATAGTGAGCAGATTAATGATCACAGTGCAAAGCCGCACAAGACGCTGTCAGACAGGTGCTTCCCAGGATTACAGAAAAGGTAATACCCTCGGGTATATGATCTCAGTGGAAGTAATGGGAATACCTGTAGTCATGGCTAGCTGCATACTCGTACGTCACCAGCCAGTTACCCAGACACACAGTCATACCAACGGCAACAGATACCCGCTCGGCTCGGGCTATCGTGATGATGACTCTATGTGCTACGCTGAGAGGCCAGGAATGCATCGGTAACCGACATACACAGATATCGTGTGTCAACAGCTGACACCATGCCAGCTACTGGTGCAAAATGAGATAGCAGCACCAACATATTAAAGCAGTCAGATGCCGACTGGATGCGTAACTAAAGCCGAGCAGCCTGCAGCCCCGGCGACAAGTACACTCACCAGATCGACAAACATTGTAACCCAACTAACAAACTCGCTCTACTCAACCACCGAACAGACAGAAAAGGTAATACCCTCACTCGGCTCCCGCCCTACTGATACATTCACCCAAACGACAAGCATACTCTTCCACAAAACAAACACTGAGCCCTAATATACAGCCTTGCACTGAGCCGTCCACATGACAGTGACCGAGTACCATATAAGGATACTCCCTGAACAACACTCTGCGCGAGGAGGGACAAATGTACATGAAGTATTGTCAGGGTCAGGGAGCAGAGCACGACTTACTTGTACATGAGATCGTGCCAGGGCAGTGCACTGAGGAGCACCAGAGTCGAACTTTCCGTCGGAGAGCGTCGGCAGAACCCAAACAGCCACTTGTCCTCGCGCCGCAGCACAAACGAAAAGTGCTCCACGGCCGTGCTGACCGCACAGACAGACATACATACGTAGTGGTAACGGCCATCGACGAGCTATTGTGCTGGCTGGGGACGGGACAGAGCAGTTCTTACACCCACATTAGATGACATGCGTAACAACATTGTAGGAAGGAGTATGTATATTGTAAAGCTTATCGGTGGGCTGCCTCGTGTGTACCCCACTAAACAGGTGGATTAGATGCTCATGCTCACCATAGTAGATGCTCACCATAGTACCGGGTGATCATTTTTGAATGATACAAAAACATTTGTTAATACCAGCCATGTGTAAATACAGTTAAGCTGGATAGTTAAACCAAACACACCCATCGAACACGTACGGTGGGACATTTTATCTGGAACACACAGTCAGTCATTAATGTCAATAGCCACCTTAGAGGAGGTGCCCAAAGTATGCTCCCTCGCGGACCGCCGACCAGCTGAGCTCCGCTCGATGCCGGGTTTGTCTGACCATTTTCTGATTATCGCCGTCCCATGCTCCGGGTAAAGTCTCCTTCTACCACTATTAGATGTGCAATTGTCTTCGGCTCACATCTGACCACACCTGTCATTAGGTGAGGCCAGACACTCAAGTACAGTCACGAGAAGTCCGGGCTGTAAGACGGGCGGTCGTGCTCGCTTATTCGCAAGCTGCAGGCTTGCCAGCTTTGGGACACGGGAACTCAATGACAGGAGCGGATGTTTATTTGTTTATTTGTTTATTTCTCCAAAAACATGTGTGGAGAAGCACACTCTTGTTGAAAAGAGTGTCGGAGACGCGTGAATTAGTCATACAAAGCCGGCCAAACGACAGGTTACAGCATTCTCTAGAAGGCCGTACCGTCCCCGGGTCCGCCAAACCAGTGCACTCGAACGCACTTCCATCAACAATGTCCACTTCGGAATTTTTGTTATTCTTAGTGTCTCCGTGCACTCCAAGATCCTTTGCAGGTTCCAGGAAGCCCGTATAACCGTGCTATTGCCTTTGCACATGCGCCATGAACTAAAATTTGTTGTGTTGCAAAGCCATCCAGCTGAGATATTGCATCGTTACACTAAGATGTCCAAAAAGGGTATGCTATAAAACGGATGATATCTACTGTACCTTAGGACGGACTTGGACAGTGCTGGAAATGAGGCCGCTTTCTGGTCCCGGCGTTTTATTCTCCGGGCGGGTTAATCCCGTCCAGCGTTTAGCTTTTCGGAACCCACTCCGGGTCGCGGTTGTTTTCGCCGCTCGTCCCAGTCGAGATGCAAAATTAATAGTCACACGAAACATATTTAGGGCCAGCCAAACCAGCCTAGTCTGGAGTTACTGTTAAATGTATGCATATAGATGAAAGAAAAAGGTTTTGTAGACTCGATTAATTTCGAATTCGTATATTCAAAGGCCCCAAATAAACTTCGTGTGACTATCAACATGGCATCTCGAATGGGCTGAGCGGCGAAAACAACCGCGGCTCTGAGAGGGTCCCGAAAGGCTAAGCGCTGGACGGGGCTAACCCACCCGGAGAATAAAAAGCCGGGACCAGAAAGCGGCCTCATTTCCAGCACTGGACTTGGACAATGTTGATAAAAAACAAAATGTCCAAATGTCCCTCATGTAAACCAGCACGTGAAATCAAAATATCTTGTCCTATCTTTGCACGTGGCGACTTTCTTTTTGTATCATTCAAAAATGATCACCCGGTAAATAGGAAAGAGGCATAGGGAGCGGATGCTCATAGGATGCTGCCTCTTCTCAATGTCATATGACGGTCATATCTGTTCTTGAATGCGTTGATGCTTGGACTCAGTACCACATGTTCAGGCAGTTGGTTCCACTAGTCCACGACTCTTGAGGAGAAAAATTGATTGCGTCTGTGCAGCCGATGTCTTGGCTTTTGCCAAGACAACGGCAAAACATAAACAAACAAGATATATCGGTTCCGAATTTCTCTTTAAAACACATCGCATGTTAAAACTGAGACAACCAACCAAGTTTAACGAAAGTAGTACGCAATGCGTAAAAGTGAGCTTTTCTTCAATGAACAGCTGCTGTTATTAGTACTGACCTTTCTACCACGCAAGGATAGGCGAACTTGGGCACCATATTCAGGGTGTTCCTCTCGACAAAGGTGTTGGGAAACTTGAGCCTGATGTCGTCCGCGTTCATACGATTCGCGAACGCAGGAGGCATCGGGACATCGCAGAAACAATCGAAGACGTGCTGCACATTTTCCCTGTAACAGACGAAATGTGGATGGCAAGTGGTACGGAGGTTCGCGGTTAAAAACTACCTACTTTGTTACTGCGATAATACACCTCTTTACTGTGTTTTTACGACTGAACGCCGCTCATGGAAATCATTAGCATGCTCTATCCGGCCCAACGGACGCTTCCTGATCTCATACGACCGCAGTCGCACCCTACAAGGCTTATCGTCCTGTATCAGGTAACATGCCAGGGCACACTGCACACGTTGGGACCGGACGCATAACAACCGTCTCTCGGATATGTAGGGTCATGACCTCTCGACGACGTGGTCAACTTGAGCGGTGGTGTCATAGCTCATGTTCATACATTATGGCAGGTCCAAACGGCTCCCTGAAGGCCGGCGGAACGGCGTTACCGCCCAACTCCGTGATATAGGTACCTACTACCTACCATGCCGCACATCCACAAGGCACACGCTGAGGAAACTGAGGCATCGAACACCAGCTTCAGAGCACGGTCTCAGAACATGTCACGGTCGTTCAACGTTCGACCGGCGTTCGACCATGGTCGTTCGACCATGGTCGTTCGACCGAGGTCCGGTCCGACACGAAGTGCACGTATTCGACCGGCGGCTCTGCAGGCTCCCTCCCCGGCATACCTGCGAGCGTCGCGCCGGAAGACTCGTCTCCTAGATAATCCCACTAGGCTCTAACGTAACTCCTATGGCTCGCACAGAAGAAGCTGTGTGGTTCTCACAATATGTGATTCTCCGGAATAGGTGGACATTGGACATCTGTTGACCTGACTGACTGATTGACCTGACTGGACTCTGACCTGACTGAACTCTAACCCATTCTGACCAGATTCTGATCTGAACTGACCAGTGACCAGACTCTGACCTGACTGGATGCTAACATTACCAGACTCTGACATGAGGCCATTATTGTAAAATAAAAACGAGCCCTGGGCTGCAAATAAAAATCGAGCCAAATAAAACAGCTTCTCGATATTATTAAACAACATGCATGGTTAATGGAAATGCACCCTCCAGCTCCTTTTTTATTAGAATCAGGAATAAAATTTGTTGGCCCTATGTCCTGATCAGACACTGGGATGGCTGCAAAATGTAGGCATTGCACATGAGAAGACTGACTCTGGCACACTTATCCTGCATTAGACATCAGTCATCAATGACTTGCAGTTCAGTCACAGTGGGTCTCACCATTTTCCATTCGTTTTCTTCTGAAAAAAAACCTGACCTACTGTCAAACTGGCACAGTGACAAGAACCATTTTGCAGCAGTTTCCAGCTCTGCATCCACTTTTTCTACCAATGAAGTCAGCTATACACTGGCCAAGCCGTCAAGGCAGCAACAGCACATATCCTAGGCAGTTAAGTTTGATGGGCCAGATGAGAGCATACATGGATTTTACTGCTGCATTAAATCGAGTTAGGTACTTAATCACAAACCATGCAAAATGGCACAATCATTGTCATCCACGCTTCAGTAACGCAACACACCTCTACTCTGTCCCAAAATTTGTAGATGTGGGTGGGAAACGACATCCAAATGAAAATCATTTACCACTCTCACCTCCAGTTGTCAAGCCCAATTTTACACTCCCAATTCCATCGAGAAGGAGCAATTGCGTGAATGGTTGTTTTGCATCTGTCACAATTGTAGATAGATTAATGTTTTTGATCATTTTCCCACTCTTTTTGGGCCTTACCTGACCGACAATTTTTCACTCTCATCCTTTTTTTGGTCAGCAATTTTCCCCTCTGACACCCAAGCAAAAATATGATTTTGGGACACTGCTACTCTGAGACATACACTAGCCAGTGTTTTGTAAGTAACTTAGCCGCTCATTCAGACGGGTCCTATTAGCACGGGATTTCCTTGCCAAGGAATTCCTTACAAAAATGGACATTTGGGCAGGCCCATTTCGCGAGAGCCAGCAAGATTCCTAGCATTTAGCAATCCCCAAACATGGCTGTTTTCATGGGCAATTCTTCAGATTGGAAATTCCACATGAAAAATGGTCTGTCCAAATGCAGGCTATGGTTAGGATGTGGGTCGATCCACGCATACTGATGCACAATTATGCTGACATTTGCCGTTCCAGTTCAGCTTACCTTAGTAAAGACATCTTACTCTTGCTGCGTTCCTGAAATCTTGATTCTGATTCTGTTGTTCAAACCAGCGAGCATTTCCTCATTTCCAGCATGTAATAAGGTGCACTAAGGCCGCAACCTCCAAATTGGTTGTGGCAAACACAAAAGAGGTAGCTCCATATTGATGGTCACAGTGGCACGTAGTTAATTGAATTGAGGCTTTAACTATGTACTTAATTTTAAAGGTTTTGGCCTAAGACGCGGATAATTGCAAGTCCAATAAAAATGTCCGCGGCTCCGCCCCACCCCCTTCACGGACACGCCTAAGAGCTGGACTTTTTGATGACGTCTTCGGGTGACGTCATGTCGTGTGTGACGTTTCGTGAGCAGGTAAGGAAAAGTCACCACCGCTGGCGAACATTGGTGCGGTAAATGGCAAACACAAATGCTGCGCAGAAAAGACAAATGTGTAACATCAGACAACATTCGTTCGGACGACAATGTCAAAAGGCGAATCAAGAAGTTCCTCATGCGATTGTTAGTTATCTGTCGTGCTATTTTAGTATGATTGTTATTAGCAGTTGATTTGTGAAATGTATTATCAAAATCAATGTTTATTGAACGCAGATTCAGTTTATTTTCAGATGTACCTAGGTAGGTACCCTTACACTTCACTCATCTCAAGCTGTTCAAACACCCTTGACAAAGTCGATTAAGATAAAACGTTGGGTATAATTTATACTGTGTTTTCTCTGCATTATTAACATATTCATCATATATACAATATAAGGGCCACATGCTTTTTACAGGGAGACATGTCAGACAGCCCAGTAGGATGGGGCTTCGTCAAGCGTCATTTTTAGCAAAGCTTTTCTTGCTTAAAATCCAGTCTGCAAAACATGGCAGGGCTTACACTTTGGCTTACACTTGACTCCCAGCTGTTGTGTCTTTGCTATGGGATGTTAAACATATAAAACATCTTACTATTCATGTATGCGCCATGACTCATGCAATCTTTTCACAGCCAAGACGCTCCTAAGGTACTGGGAATGTGGGGAGTGCAGCAGCATCAGTGCAGCACCGATGGTCGGATGCGACGGCTGCGATAAATGGTACCACTTCCGTTGTGCGGGACTGACTAAGGAGCCAGGTAAGCGCAAATGTTTTCTGTCTCAGTATTTTTGTTGCAGCTATAGTGATCAATGAAATATTTTCCGCACTGTTCAGCCAAACATGTATTTCAAACAATCTGCTTTCCAACCAAGGGCGTCGCCACAGGGGGGGGGGGGGGGCGACAGAGGGATCTCATCCCCTCCACTTTTTAAAATTTTAATATTACGCCTATGGCGTTGCATGGAAAGAATCGACTTGAAATGGTCCTCGTCCCCTCCAAAATGGTCAATGTCGCCTCCAGTCGTCGCACCGTGGCGTCGCCCCTGTTCCCAACTACACAAATTTAGTCAATGTGCCAATATGGAATTTTCAGGTTCAGTTGAATGAAATAGGAACAATGATAATTGTAGATTACGTATACCTGCAAGAGAGGAAAACAGAATACATCGTATTGCTTGTTCTTCACCGATACTGTTATTTTTCCATTTCTAGAAACACCGTCATGGCGATGCAGGTGGTACTGCCTGGTGAGGCCGCGGTCTCCGGAATCGCCTGCAGACGAAGTCACCTGGCGTCCATCTGCACATCACTTGCAGCAGTGAGGCCTGCTGACAGCGTCTGGCAGTGTCGGCAACGTGCCAGACAGCTATCTGGAGTCCTGCTCACCGCAGGTCGCCGACAGGAGGGGCGACGCATCGTCTCCGAGGTCGCCTCAGCAGCAGTGAGACCCCACTGGCCGTCTTCTTAGGCTTCAACTAGATTGCGAACAACCTATGCTGAGACAACGCCCATGACGTGTGATCCGGTACCGCTACCGCACTGCGTGCCTGTGCCCGCCGTGAGCCGCTAGTGCATGGGTTCGACCATGAGAATATGTGTTTATGGTGCTTTTACCATTGTTTATACGTTGAAGTGACGAATTGGTTATTTTTCGCAAGCCTCCGCTGTCCGGTTGCCTGCAGCTCCATGCAACGCCAGCTGTACTGTTGTTTTAATGTTGTCTCTCCGCTCAGCTGTACTGTTGCCTCTCCGCTCATATATGACACTCTCTATATGAATGGCACTACTAATTGTCACACCCACTGTCCGTATTGTCCGTAGTGGTGTCTACGCCCATGTTAATACAGCGTGCAGAATCCAGATTCTATTGAGGAGAGTTGAGCCAAGTCACCATAGGCTCGGGAAGAGAGCAACGTGGAGTCCCACTGCCCCTTCCCCGGCCCCCACTGGGGGCGCCAGCCACTCCAACTTTTGACTGGATGTCAAGAGCGTCGCCACGAGGGGAACGAGTCGCCGGCCAGCCAAGGTAGCCAACGGCGTGTGAAGGTTGTCTGACCTCGAGGAAACTGAGATGGCACCAACGGAGGTTTTGTTAAGTAGGCGACCAAAATTCGAGCGGCAGCAGCTTGGGCACCTTCACAGATAGCAGTGCCGCGTATCAGGGCGCCGGAGATTCCCATTGCCGGCTGTGGGAAACTACTGTCGGTGTAAACGCCATTCATATTTCCTGCGTCACCCCTGTGGGGACGCCCTTACTCCATGGTGCCGAGCTTATCAATTTGGATATCAATGGAATCAAAATCTCCGTATCGATCGATGAAGAACTAAATTACCCCGACCCGGAGAGCGTCTTTGGAATCAAAGCAGTAGCACATGACGCAAGACTTCAGGCAAATAAATCCTTCTTGTCTGAAATAAAACATTTGTGTATTGATAAGCACGTTTTATAAGCAATGGTAGCAAGATTCTGCATGTATTTGGTTAGAGTGATAATTTAGTAGCAGATACTTACCGTCGCATTTCGTTTTTTAAATTAATAATTTATATTGTAAGAACTAGCAACATGTCTCTTCACTCAACAATAATTACAAAAGTGAAAAAGAAATGATAAATTGCTTATATTTTGGTGAAGCTAAAAATTAATTCAGCACACATTTTTTTTACAGCGTTGAAGTCCAGCTCCAAAGGACAGCTGACGATCGTAGCCGAGCAGGCTGTTTGGTACTTCTTCACTACTTCTTAGAAGTACCCGTTAGTACCGATAATGTCTCACATAATAAGCTATTGGAACAAAAATATCCATGTTCGTCTAATTTTTTTCCTTTCTCACTTTAAATAAATACTTTTGAAATGCATTTACCAATTAATTTCACAAAAACGGCTTGGAATTTTACAACGTCAAAATACTTGTTCCAATTTCCACCATGAAACCACCACTATATTACTTGCTTACAGAACCGTGCGCACAGTGCGCGCAGTTTTATCGTGACGTCAGAGGGTGCTTCCTCAGTGGCGCCCCCTTGCGGGGAACGCGTGCAAAAAGTCCAGCTCTTAGGCATGTCCCCCCTTCACGAGCGACAACACACGACCACAACCCACGACCACAACTGAGAAACTCCACTCGTTTGTTTATTTTTATGCTTCCAAATTCCCAGGCCTTGGCGAGCTCTAGAATTTTCCGCCAAGTTTGTATTTTTTCGCCAAGCAGCGCAAAAATAAAATGATTTTTTTTTTCTGAGCGACGATTTTTCGCAAATAAAAAAATGATTTCATATTTCCAAACATTATTTTATTACAATTGCGAGACCTCTATTATTAAAAACAGCTCGAACTGCTCAATTCAATTATAAGTATTTTTTAAAACAAACGTTGGCTAGAAAATGTAAGCCAAGGTCTCTAGCCCATATCTAGCCGATTTGGTATCTGAACGGCGCTACATTTACCGCGCATTTGATACGAATAATGTGTTCAATATTTCTCAATAGTAGGCGTTGATCAGTTACCATGGCATTGGCAACACATGGCTCTTACTCCTTCTCCTCTTCGTCTCTTTCCCCTGCTCCGGGCTGGGCAGGCAACTTTATCCCATGCGGGCGGCTGTCATTGGAGCGCACTGCGCACCACAGCTCCTAAGGGAGCTGTAGCCAAGGCTATATAACCTGTAGCACAAGGCTGTAGCACACTGAGTGTAGCAAGGCTGAGTGCTTGGGGGGCTGGTCGGCCTGTCCAATTGGACGGTCCCGGCGACTCTCTAGGGTGCCCGCCCAGACTAATGTCTTCCCCCTCCTATTCCTATCATCATTCCAGGCCTGAACTGGTCTCGTCTGACCGAAAGGGCCCAACCCAACAAAACAGACAAAGCCTCAACCCCCTAGGCTCCGGGCTGGATGGGCACCGAGAAGCTCTCATAAGAGGGCGCCCGTAGCCGGGTCGGGTGCAGTGAGTATCAGCGGGCTGGGTGACTAGTATCTAATTGGGTGGGCATGTCAGACTGCCCTGCTGGTAGACAGACGTTCGACGAACCCGCTACCGCAGCAGATTCGCAAATATCAGTCTTAGATTGACGGACATGCGCTAGTAACTGATATTCGGGACGGACACCGTTCCGTGCTTCTATCCTCAGGATACTGAAATCCTTCTCCTCCACGCCGCAAACCCCCTCCGGGCTGGACAGGCAACTTTATCTCATGCGGGCTGCTCCCTTGGAGCGGCACCGCTGCTCCCGAGGGAGCGCACCCCGTAGCCGGGTGCAGTGAGTGCCTTGGGGCTGGGTGGCCTATCCTCTGGACGGGCTCAGCCCCGGCGACTCACTAGGGTGCCTGCCCAGACCAATGTCTCCCCCTATATCCTATCATCCTCCCGGCTCTGAAATGGTCTCAATGGACCGAAATGGCCTAACCCAACAAACAAAAAACAAAAATCGGGACGGAAGGGGCCTTCCCTATAGCTCAATGGCGCAAAACTTGGTACAGCTCACAATATAGCTCGATGCTCAACGCTCATATCGTGTCCAACTATGGCGCATAAAGAAGTGCACAAATTTCTCGAGCTCAACCCTGATTATATTATATAGCATTTATCACAAACATACAAATACACTTCATCATGAATATTCATTCACTATGCACGCATAAAGATGCATCAGAAATAATATAAGTCTATGGCAAACTGTTTGATGAGATATGTGCTACATTGGCAAGCTGACCGCTTTCTCTTAATGAACAACATGGCACTTTCGGGATCAACACCGACCTTCACTCGTCTCCAACTCTGCTTGCCAACGTAACTCAACGCCACCAACCGCGGCTCTGCGCGTTAACAAACAACTGGGCTGAGTGGTCACATCCGGCGGCGCCTCACCAGCTCAGCTCTACCACAGCCTCATACACGCGTCAACGATGCACCGGCCGGCGGCGCCGCGCCCGGCCCGACCGGCAGCGCAGCTATCACATGGGTCTGCCCGTGCCGCCGTGGCCGCCGTCACACCACCGTGTCGTGGCTCGAGTGCAGGCTGTAGCCGTTGTGTTTGAGCTTTCCGTTGAGAGGGATGCTCGGCTCAAGCCTGTGCCGGCTGAAGAAGCGTCGGAACCAGTCTTTGATGCAGTCCCAGGCGGGCGGCGCGTCTGCCAGCGGCGGCGCCGCCACCTCGGCCAGCTCGTCGGCCCGCTCGGGGCCCCGCTCCTGCTCTCCGTGGTCGTGCTCCTCCGGCTCCGGCGGCGGGCCGAGCTCGGCCGGCTCCGGCTCCGGCCGGCCGTCCTCGTCCTCCGACACACGCTCGGCGCCGGCCGGCTCCAGCTGCTCCTCCAGCCGCGACCGCAGCAGGCGACAGCTCAGCATGGGCTCGGCGCTCTCGCCGCCGCCGGCGCCCGTCTCCTGTTCGCGCGCCAGCAGCTCGCGACAGTCGGCCACCGAGCGCGAGTCGCGCCGGCGCGCCACCGGCCGCGCCGGCAGCCGCAGCGCGCGTGGAAAGTTGTCCAGGCTGCGCGACTCGCGGACGGCCGGCAGTGAGGCGGGCCGCTGGCAGAGGCGCGGCACGGCCAGCCGGCGGCGCGGCGGGCTCTCGGCCCGGCTGGCCGGCCGGCTCGGCTCGCGGCTGGCCGCCGAGCCGCGCGTCCGCACGCTAGCCAGACTGAGCCGGCTGGCGGCCGCGTGCGACGGCTCGTGACGGCGCACAGTGGCCGCGCGAGAGAAGAGCGGCGCCTGCGCCGGCTGGTCGAGCGGCGGCGGCCGTTTGTGATCCGACCCAACCAGCCAGTGCGTCTCCACCAGCCCCTTGCCCTTCATGTGGACGGGACCGCGCGGCACCGTCTGGTAGCCGCCCAGCTGGGTCAGCGTGCGCTGGCACTGGTCCGAGATGTGGATGCGCAGCGGCTCGCCGGTCGACTCGATCCGGGAGGCCGTGTTGACCGTGTCTCCGAACAGGCAGTAGCGCGGCATGGTCAGACCCACCACGCCGGCCACCACCTGACCTGAGGGCGCCGCACAACAAGATCGCGTCACAGTCACGTCACACGTGTCACGAAGGTCACGAATTTTAACTCTAGAACACATCGAACCGGCGGCCACAGGAGATAAACACGCTAACGCAGCCCCAACCTCCCTAACCCCTCCCTAATCCTTTTCAACCTCATACCGCCCAGTCCCACCCCAGCCACTCCTGACCACTGAGATCTTCCTACCTGTGTGTATGCCGATACGCAGTTTGAGCTGCTCGCCAGGCCGGTGCTGGATCTTGTGCTGTCGGATGGCGTCCAGCAGACTCAGCGCCATGGAGGCGATCTCGCCCGCGTGCTGGATTCCGTTCGGCTTCGGAACGCCCGACACCTGGTGGTCGGGATGGAAACATTGGTTTAGGTGTGTCCGCTGGGGGTGCTGGTGTCTGGCGATCTTGCATTGCATCCATGGTGGCTACACTCCATTTACCTACACGCCTTCGAAGACACCGTTTTCGCCAGTAGCTGGCTAATTATCGTCATACGCGTTTTTCTTTAAGAGTTTACACAAGTGAATGTTGCTGATTCGAACTAAACGGTGTATCATCATTTGCTCCTATTGCCGGTCACTCACCACCATATACGCGTCGCCGATCGTTTCCACTTTGTAGACGTCGTAACTTCGGATGATGCGGTCAAAGACGGTGTACAGGTCGTTCAAAAGTTCCACCACCTGTAACAGGCCAAGCGAGGACCGTCAGAAGGGCCGCATCGCTCCGTCGTTTCCACCCTCAGAACAGTCAAAGCCTTCTCCTCCACGCCTCAACCCCCTGATTCGGGCTGGACGGGCAACTTTGTCCCATGCGGGTAGCTCCATCGGAACACATCTGTAGCCGGGTGCAGTGAATGCTTGGGGGGGGGGGGGGGGCTGGTCGGCCTGTCGTCTGGACGGGCTCAGCCCCAGCGACTCACCAGGGCGCTCGCCCAGACCAATGTCTCCCCGGCCTAATTCCTATCATCCTTCCGGCCCTGAAATGGTTTCGTCAGACCGGACTGGCCCAACCTAACAAAGCAAACAAACATAAGGGCCATGTGCGCTGCGTGGTACGTTACAGGTCCGCCCATAAATCATATGCAGCACGCACTTCGCAGTTCGCACTTCGGTTACTGAGCGCTACGTCATCAAATTAGTGTACGTACCATTACAAGAAGCCGACTGGTTGGAGAGGTAAATAATTTTCACATGACAAATGAAAATGGTACGGTACTCGTTCAATCAAATTGAAAATATGGCATTTCAGCCAACTAAAAGGCTGCAACTGCGACTTCATTTAACCCGCGCCCTGGTGGGGGGGGCTATTTTTTGCCCCCCCCCCTCCAGACTTTTGATATATCTCCAGAACCGCTGCGCCGATCGTCACCAAACTTTCAGTACCCTCCCGGACATCAATTTTACACATTGTGACCAAAAATTTTTCCAAAGGCTATGATAGGTTGGCCGGAAATGACGTCAGAGTGACGTCATGTTCTGCCGTTTTCGACCCAAAAAAGGGTTTCGCGGGAAGAGCTGTCAGGCCTATAGCTTTGCAAATACAGAAAAATGATAAAGACATAAAAGCTGTAGAATCAACAGGGCTACAAAACTGCTATCTCGGATTTTTGAAATTTTTGGATTTTGACCCCCAAAAATCAAAAAATAAATTTTTTGCATAAAATAATCGAAAAATCCAAAAACTTTTTTGAATTTCGCAAAAACCGGAATATATGTGATAGTGCTTACCGCCTTCCATCCACATACCAAATTTGAGATCGATACCTCTTTTTTTGGCGAAGTTATAGCGAAAAAACTGTTCAAAATTGATGACGTCAAATTTTCAAACTCAATTTTTAGCAATTCTAGACCCCGTAGCGCAAAACAAAGACCACCATTAGACTCCCCGTGACGAGCTGCATCGAATCAATACCCATTTAATGCAAAACTATCAACTTTAAAGTTTGACCTTTTTTGGCCTGACCTTGACCTGACCTTGACCTGAACTTCACCAGAAAGTGACCTAAGCCGTACCTGATAGTCTTATAACCAATACCATTGAGTTGGAAATGAAAAATTGGCCATAAAACATGCATCACACAACCTTAGTAAAGTTGGGCTCATGTGACCTGACCTGTGACCCTTGGTGACCTGACCTG